ACCCCACGGGATGGTGCGGGCCGGCGCTCTGTTTCTGGGTGGAGCCTGCCAGGCTCTGGGCCTGCCCCAAGCCTGCTCCTTCCTAAGGGTCCCGTCCTAGGTGTCCCGGCCCCATTCGCCCCCTCCACGGCCTTGGTGCAAGGCCGCCCCCAACTTCGCCTCCTGGAACACTCCCACCAGCCCCACATGCCTGGCCTTTTCAAAACCCAAGGGGTTGTCCGGAAGCCCTCTCAGCTTGACCCGCTTGGTGGGTCTGTCTCTGTGTCTCTGAGCCTCTGTCTGTAAAGCAGCCGCAAGTGAGCTGGTTCCCAGGAGGTGGTGCCTGGGAGGCTGGTCACCCTGGAGCCCTGAGGTCTCTCTCCAGCTGGGGTGGCCAGCCCGTGGGAGGCCTGGGCTGCCAGGCGTTGAGGTGATGCCAGTCGTCCTGCCGGGTGCCTGTCCTCCCCGTGGGGTGGCTGATGGGGAGGATCGGGTGGCTGCCGTGGCCCGCCGTGGCCCTCAGACCCCCCCTCCCCGAGTGGTGTTGGGAGGCTCCGGCCGTGGCTGGGCTTGTGGGGGGAGGCACACCCCGCCCTGGGTGGGTCCAGGCGGCCTGTGGAGGCGCTCTATCGCCCAGTGGTCCAGATGAGACTGACATCCACCGCGGTGTCCAAGCCGGGGTGGACGGTTGGACTGAAGGCTGCGTCCAGCTGGGCTCCAGGCACCCTGCCCACCGGACCGTCCTGCCTGTCTGGCCTCTTGCCTGCCGGGCGCCCGCCGGGTGGAGGACAGGGAGGCTATTGAGGGGAGGCGGTCTCAATGAGCCAGTGTGTGCCCCGAGCTGCCCAGCTGGCCGGCGCCTGGCACAGGGCCTTGGGGACGGGTGCCGGGCAGCGCTGGGGGGGCCAGGCTGTGCCCCCCCCGCCCCCCGCCCCCCAGCGCCAACTCGGGGCCTTGGAACTGCAGGCCTGCAGGTCGGGATGGCAGAGGGAGGCTCAGGTCTCCCCCTGGACGCAGCGGGCGGCAGGGCCCGGGGTTGGGGCGGGCCCCTGGTGAGGCGCCCCGCGGTGGGAGGACCTGGGATGGCTGAGGCGGGTGGCTGGAAAGCTGAGCCCCCGACCCGCAGCCCCGGCCCGCCCCGCTGCACGGGACCTGGGCACGTCCTCGACTGCAGCGCCGGCAGCCCGGGGTCCCTTCCTGGACCTGTTGTCAACTCCGGAAACGCGAGCTGCACGGGTCACGGCCCGGCTGCTTTGTTTGTGGAGGGAAGGGGAGTGGGCAGGAGGGGGCTGTGGCCGGCGGGCCGTGCTGGGCCCCCATCTGAAAATCCAGCGTGATGGGGGCTCGACAGGGTGGTCTCACAGCCCTGAGCCCGGGGGCTTTTCTGACCTGACCCCCCGCTCCTCCCGTGGGGCGCTCCTGGGGGCGGGGTGCAGTTGCCGGTCCCTCCCGTCCACCTTCTGGGTGGGCCTGGCCGGCCTGGGCGGGGGCAGCCTGTCCTGGCGGTTGTGGTGGGGCAGTGGGACCCCTCTCCCCGGGGCTTGCTCACAGGAGAAAATGGAAGGATTACTTAAAGCAGCTTGGAGACCCCAGAAACAAGATGAAGAATGGAGAGGCATCATTTGCAAGTGGGGGGAACTCCCTGAAAGCCAGGCAGTGTGCAGTGGTGGGTGGTACTCTATGCTAAATTGAATCAAATGAAGAAAAACATTTTCCACATGCAAGTAAAATATCTGTTTAATTAGACCACAAGGAGGAAATTAACAGTAATATTTTGTAGCGGGGTAGTTGCTGTCTTTCTGAAGGGACGGGGCTCCCGAGGGGAGGGGTGGGTGCCTTGGCTGAATTCTGCAGCTTGGGGCTGTGACGCCTCAGGGCCTGGGCCCGGGGTGCTGCCCGCAGCTGCCCCAGGGCTGGGGGAGGAGAGCAGGCCCCGGGGAGGGTGGGCCGCCCCTCCCGCCTGCCCCAGCTCCCTGCTGGGCTGGGCTCTGCTAGGACAGGGGGTGGCTGAGGACAGGGGAGGGCTTTTGTCTCCCTGGGGGCCGCCCAGGGTCAGCACCTCACCTTCCTGTGTCCAGGAGGCCCATCTTGGGAGTGGCCAGTGCCTGCCTCCAGGAGAAGCCCCCTCGCGGAGTCCCCGAGCCCCAGGCCAGGGTGCTGGGGGCGGGGGGCCTGCTCTGGGCCGGTCCTGCCCGAGGCTTGCTGGTCCCCAGGCGTGGTCTCCAGGGGTGGGCTGTGGTTCCGAGTGAGCGGAGGGCAGTGACTGTCCCGGGATGCTCGGCGGCCCAGCTTCCTCCTGAGCCGCCCTCTGGCCCCTGTGCTGGCCCAGCCCACGCTGCCCGGCCTCGGTGAAGGGCTCAGGGCTCCCTGCTTCCTGTGTGGTGACCCCAGACGGGCCTCTCCTCCTTGCTGGGGTCGCGCGTGTTACAGGGCTTGGAGAGGTGGGCCTGCCCCACGCTGGGAGCCCCCCTGAGTCCTGGGGCTTCAGTGGGCCCTCTCCAGTGAGGGTGGTGAGGGTCTCCTGGGGGGTGGGTTTGGCTGCTGGTGCTGGAGGAGGGGCTTGGCCCCTCACGGGGGCTTTGGGCACTGAATGGGGTCTGGATAAGTTGGGGCTGGCCCTCCTGGGAACTCTGGGGAGACCATCCGTGATCTGGGGGGTTCCACAAGCGTGGAAGCCCCTGCATTTGTCTTGCTGAGCCAGCCCAACATGGAGGGGGGCGCCAGGGTGGGCTCCCTGGGGGCCTGGGTTCCCCACGGCAGTCAGAGGCCCTAGAACAATGGACTGCCGGGCCTGGGGCAGGCGGGGCGGGGCTGCCTTTCAAGTCGGGTTAATGGCTGTAGCAGGCGGCCCTCCCTTCCACTCGCCAGCCCACCATTAGCCGCCTCCCGCTGAGTGGAAAAACCGGAGTCATCAGAGTCGGGTCTGGAAAAAAACGGGCAGGGGGGTGGTGGGGGGGACGGTGACAGCCGGGGCCTGTCTGAGCCCCGGGTGGCTTGGGGATGGGGCGTCTGGCTTCCATCTGCGGCCCGTGGGCATCCTGAGTGGGGTCCCCGAAGCGTTTCCGGGCCTCCCTGGGGCCCCATGGGGGAGCCGGGGGGGTGGGGGTGTCTGCTAATTGGGACCAGGCCCGCCAGGCACTTCAGAGGCTCTGGGGCCTGCCAGCCCTGGCCAGAGCAAAGCCAGGCCTTCCGGAGCAGCCCGTGGATCAGGCAGCTGGCGAGGCCGGCCTGGCCGGGTCAGCCCTCCTGCGACCTGGTCCCCGGGGGGCGTGTGAGGGACCAGCTCTGGCCCGGCCTGCAGGGAGCGTGGGTGGCACGGGCTGACCTTGTTTCATGGAGCTTTGCTTGATCATGCTTCGTGGATCCGGCGTTTTTTTACCGACTGAGGGCTTGTGGCCCCCCTGCGCTGAGGAAGTCTATCAGCGCAGTTTTCCTGACAATGTTGTTTTTCAGCTCACACTGGCTTTCAGTGTTGGATTGTTTTCTTAGACCCGACGCTGTTGTGCACCGAAGAACCTGCAGTAGAGTGTGAGCATAAAGCTTTTGAAATTGGGAAACAAAAACGTCACCCGACTCGATTTATTTCAGTCCTCACTCCATCACAGTGATGTGGACCGAGCCAGAAATATTTCCGAGTCTGCCTGTCCTGGGGACACAGAGGAGGGCGATCGCCAGCTAATGCTGGCGAGAATGTTCCCATGTGGCGAGGCCACCCGACCTCAGCCGTCACCCCTGGGAAGCCCTCCCAGGGGTCTGTGGACACTGGTCTGGCCGGCCGCAGGTCAGGCTCAGGGGGTCCCGGCTGGGGTGCCTGAAGCACCCCCGTTTGCATGCTGCCGTCGGCCTTTGCATCTGAGGGTTTGAGGAGGTCACAGTCCCTTTTGTGGCCAACCGGGCAGCTCGGACTGGAGCCAGAACCTTTGGGGGGAGCTGAGATCAGGGAGGGGGAGGCCCCCGTTCTGCAGGCTGGGGGTGACAGGGAGGGCTGGGCCCGCCAGCTGCCAGGGTGGAGACCCTGGCCTTCTCAGCTGGTGGTGGGTACGTCCTGGGTGGTCATGGAGGGAGTGTCCCGACCCCGCACGTGTCGGGGCTCGTCCCTGGGGAAGGGCACGAATGCTGAGGGGCTGGCCCTGGTGCAGGCCCTGAGCCCCGGGGGACTGCCCCCGGGGAGGCGCTGAGGCAGAGCCTGGTGGGCTCTTGGGGTGCCGGGCCTGGGCCCTGGGAGTGGGACTCTTAACAGCTTCCCTCCAGTGAGGCTCCTTCTGAGAAACGGCTCTGTCCTCTTCATCTTCTTTCTTCCAGAGATGTCACCTCCTCCAGGAAGCCCCCCTCCCTGACCCTCCAGGCTAGGTGAGGGCCTCTGCTGGGCTCCCCTGGCTCCTGTTGTTAGGCTCCTGATACCAGGCTTGCAGTTACGGGGAGACCCAGGTGTCCGCTTCAGCCCAGGGCAGGGGGCAGGCTGCAGGGGCCGAGTCCACACCTGTGATGAAGCGTAGTGGCCGTCTCGTTGGCCTCCTGCCAGCCATGCCCAGCCTCCGTCCTCCTGGGGACCTGGAATTGCCCACTTGGTCCTGCAGACCAGGGCTAGAGAAGGCGCAAAGTCAGGGAGAGGCCTCCAACCCCCAAGTCCCACGTCCACGGGCTTTGGAATAGATTTGCTTCCAGCTGGGGCCCTGGCACCGGCTCCCCCCAGCCCGCTGTGGCCGCCCTGCTTCTGCAGGCCTCCTGGCTGCTGCCTAGGCATGCAGCCTTGGCTGTTGGAGGCTGCATCGTCCGGGATCCGGTGGATGCCTCATTATCTGAGAGTGGGATGGTCATGACCAGGGAGGAGGTGGGCCGCTATCACGGGCACCGAGGGCCTCTCAAGCCCCGATGATTACTTTCTGGTGGGTTTGTACGGACAGCACTATTCGAGGCTTATCAGTTGGTTGTGGATGGTGTGGCGGCTGCTGTGGACTTGAGAACTGGGCGGTGGGTCCTGGCACCCGGACCCTGACCGCCTCCGTCTCTTGTTCCCCCAGGACCCCTGCCTCTCGGCTCTGCTTCTGGACAAGCTGCCTGCGTGTCGCCCGGAGGCCGAACGCCGCTGCGATGTCTGCGCCACCCACCTGACCCAGCTCACGCGGGAGGCCCTGCAGCTGCTGCAGGCGCCCACCAGCCGCGAGGACACCGACGCCCCCCACGGAGGCCCCAGCCTCGCGCCCCCCGGCCCCAGCACCGCCCCCAGCCTGAGGGATGGACCGGCGCTGGCGGGCCCCGCGGGGAGGCAGTCGGGCCGCGCGGGGCCCGACAGAAGGAGGGGGCCGGCCTGGCCGTCGGGGCCCAGCGTCCAGCTGTCCGTGGCGCCTGCCGGCCTGGGTGGGGCCCTAAGCACGGTCACCATCCAGGCCCAGCAGTGCCTGGAGGGCATGTGGAGTGTCTCCAGGGTCAACAGCTTCCTGCCGCCGACATGCCTGGTGAGCACCCTGCGTGCGGTGGGCTGGGGGCCCCCGGGACACCGGGCAGGATTGGACTTCACCGGGCTGAGTGCCCAGGTGCGGGTGGCGGCCCCCCGGTGCGGTTTCCGCGAGAGCGGGGGGGCTGTGCGTGTTGGGGGAGGCCTCAGACCTTCCCACGGCCCATGTCAGGTGCGTCGGGGGGCAGGGCCCTCTCCCGTCCCCTGGAGCCTCGCTCCTGTCCTGCGCAGCGCATGGTTGGGGTGGTCTGGCCACTCTGAGACCCCCTGTGGCCCCGGGGGTTGGCGGATAGGCCCGCGGGCTGCTGGGAGGAGGTCAGGCCGCTGTCCAGCGCCTCCTCTGGCCCCGCCCCGTCCAGGCCTCTGCTGCTTGGAGCGCAGGCGGCCCTGGGGACACAGCTGCCCCGTGGCCAGGGGCCAGAACCAGGAGTGTCACGGGGGCCGACCCCGGGCTGGACCCCTCTTTTTCCCCGGTGTCCTCTGACTCTGGGATGCTCCCCTGCCCCCCGCCCCCCAGGGCTCCCCTCCTGGGGCCGTCCGATTGTTACTCGCAGCCGTGGAATGGCCTCGTGGAGCCAGCTCTGGGGACCGGGAGGACCGCATGTGCTCGGCAGGGGGGTGCGGCCCACAAGGTCTGAGGAGACCCCAGCTCTGGAGGGTGGCGCTGGGTCCTCATCCCCGTGGGTCACAGGGCTGTGCTGCTGGGCGTTTCTCCAGTGTCCTGCGTGAGCCCCAGTTTCCCATCTAGGAGGAGGGGTACCAGGACGGGGGTGCAGGAGAGGATGGGTTGTAGAACTGGAGTTTCCTGGGATACTAGGGGGTTGGTTTGGGTTTGGTGGTACACGGGGCCAGCTGAGGGCGGGAGGGTCTTTCCCCAGAGGCCCCCGCTGCATGATGGGGGTGGGGAGCCTCAGCTGTACCAGCTGCTCGGCTGGGGGCTGAGACCCAGGGCCCAGCCGACCCTCGTAAAGCAGACGAGGTAAGCGGAGCCCCCCCAGTGGAGGGCAGGGTCTGTGTGGAGGCCTGGAGGCCTCGTCAGCAGACAGGGCTGAGGGGGGTCTGGCCAGGGCCCACACGGGTGTTTGTGGCTGTGTCTCTGCGCACCCCCCAACCACCGTGGAGTCCCGGGGACAGGAGATAAGATCGGAAGTGGCCGTGGAAACCTCCCAGTCACCCCAGAGCAGGCTGCACTGTCTCGCCAGTGGGTGTCTCTGAAACAGCATCAGGCAGACACCTCCTGGGGTCCCTGTGTCCCCCCGAGGGGCTGTGGGGGGTTGAGGCCCTGGAAAGGGCCCCCAGCTCTTGGGACCAAGTCCCACACAGCCCCCGCTGCAGGGCAGACCCTGGCCGGCCCCCACTCTGGGCTTGCTGACCCCTCTGAAGGTGCTGAGCTGTGCTGGCTGGATGATGCCGCCTTCACTGTGGCCTTTGACGAGATCCTTCCTGAGCTGGGAGCAGACCCCTGGGCACTCACTGCTGGGGCCAGTCTGTCTGAGGCTGCCCTGGCCTGGGGCCCTCCCTGGCCCTTGGTAGCTGGGGGGCTTCCAGGAAGAGCTTCTGTCTTCTGAACTTTCTGAAGTAGCCTTCGGCTGGTGTGACGGTGCACCCTGGGTGTGGCCTCACCACGTCTGACTCCTCCGTTGGCTGAGTCCCGGGGCGAGGCCAGGGAGAGGGAGGCAGCCTCTGCCGTGCAGTCCCGTGCTGCCTCCTGGCCGAGAGCTGGGCTGCCCAGGAGGAATGTGCCGCGAGAGCTCCAGAGAGCTGGGTGGCTTCCTGGGGGAGGTGGTATTGGGCTGTGTGGGTGTGGGGGTAAGTGTCAGAGATGGTGGGCCCAGCCAGAGGTGTGTGAGAACTACCAGGGGGCTCCTTACCTGGGGAGGGAGCTGAGTGCAGCTTTGCAGGTAGAGAGAGACCCCCAGGAGGCAGAGGTGGGGGTAAGCTGGCGGTGGGAGGGGGCGGGTTGGCACAGCCCCGTTGGTGGGCTGTCTGCCTCCCTGTTCCTTGGGGGTGGTGGGTCACTGGGCTCTTGCTGGGCAGCCCTCCCAGCAGCCTGCACATCATAAAACGTGAGCGTTTAAGGCTTGCTCTTGGTTTTATATGTGCATTGATTGCGTTCAGGGTGGGTGGGAATGGATTTATAATTAGACAACAGTCCTGGCGATCAATAGAGAGATTATTAGAACCATAAATAGAACTTTAGGACTTAGATGAGGTAATTTCCCCTGAACCCGGGCATTGATCATTAGAGATGGCCCTGGAGTGTTAAAACACCGCGTGTTAGGCTGTAGAATTAAATACTTCTGGAGGGATGTGCTGTGAATCCTGGCCATGGCCCATCAGCTGCAACCCCCCACTCCCCACCCCGGGCGTGACTGTCTCCAGGCGGATGTGGGTCTGGGCTGGCCAGGTGGGCAGTGAGGGTCTGGCGTGTTCTGGGTGCCTGCCCCGTGGACTGCCGGGGGTCCGTCTGTGCACGTGGCCATCTAGAGGGCCCCGTGTCAGCCAGCCACGCTGTGATCGAGACTGCAGCCCACGCCCCCGTCTGCAGCGCAGAGCTCAGCCCTGTCCGGGTCATCCACCTCCTGGAAAGTGTCCTTGATGATTCCCGGCAGCGGGGGCCGCCCAGGGGGACAGTCGGGCAGTCGTTTTCCAGCAGCTTTGCCACCCTGGGGGTTGGAGGTGCCCATGGGTGCCCCCCAAGCGCTCTGCCCTGGCCAGCTGCACGGGGACGCAGCTGTGAACCGGGGGGTCTCCCTGAGGAGCGCAGGGTCCCATCAGGTGTTTCACAGGACACCTGCCATCCGTTTGCAGCCAGATGCCTGGAGATTGTGGCTTTGGCCTCCTGACCCCACAAGTCGGCTAGAGGTAGCATAGCCTGGGGCCGCTGAGGTTGGGGCAGAATAACAGGGTGAAAGTTGCAGCCACCTTGGGCCCCTGCCCGGGAGTCTTCGCGAACCCTCCGTAGTCTTGTTGACAAGGGCCAGGCCCCACCCAGGGTCCCGGGGAAGAGGACTTGGAGCAGAAGCTTCGTAGTCAGCCGTGGGGGCTGAGGCAGTGCACGCACTGCAGGGAGGATGGAGGGCTTCCTGGAGGAGGCGCGGCTCTGAGTGGGAGGCGAGCTTGTTTCGGTGGGCGAGGATTTCCTTCTGTCCGTGGAGGTAGGCTGGCACTGGCTTGGGGACCTCGCTCCTGCTGCCCCTGTGCCAGCCGGCTTGCCGCCCCCACTTCCCTGGCTGGGTCCCTGGTGGGTGCCCACCTGTCCTTGGGGATGTGGTGGGAACGGTGTGGGGTGGGGGGAGCTTTGTCCCTCTGGCCTGGCCGACTGTCACGGGGGCCCCTCTGAGCCCCAGTTTACCTACCCGAGGAGCAGAGCTTGGAGCAGCTGCCCCCGCACTTCCCCGTGAGCCTGCTCCTGTGACCTGGGGGAGGGACCGTCCGAGCCTGGGGCCCCGGGGTGACCAGGCAGGGCTCTGAGGGGGGCCCCGGTGCTCAGCGCAGGCCCCGTGCCCTGCAGGGCCAGGCGTGGCTCTGTGCCCCGTGGCCACCCCTTCCTCTGCCCTCCCCACCTCTTGGCATGAAATAGCCCCCGAGGGAGTTGGGGAGCGCTGCCTTTCCTGGGCCACAATCTTGCCGATGTGGAGTCCAGCCCCGGAGGGCTCCTGAGGAGTGGGTGTTTCCCAAGTGGTGTTCCGTGGAACCCTGCGCCCGGTGGCGGGCACCCCGCAGAGACGGGGGGCTTCCCGAGACGGCGGACCCCCCTCACGCTCTCCTCTCTTCACGCTTTCCTTTCGTTGCTGCCCTGGCGCATCCATCACGCTTTCTGTTCGGCCGCCTGCCCGCCCACCCCGGCCCCCTGTCTCCTGTCCCCGTGTGTGTGTGGTCTTCCCCTCCGCCCTCCCTGCCGCCACCCCCCCGCCTTGGCTTCTTTTGGCGCGTCCGGGCTCTGCTTCCGGCAGGAACTGGCAGCGGCCTCCCGGTGGCCGGAGCCGGGTGTCGGCAGCTCACCGGCCGGCGGAGCCGCGGCGCGTGTGGGACCCCCAACAGGTCAGTGTGGGGCCCAGCCGGCCGCAGGCACACCGCGTGGCCTGAACCGTTGCCCGTGGGGCCGGCCGTTCGGCTGGAGGCACAGATGCAGGCGTGGGAGGTGGGCTGGCTTGGGCCCCACGGGGCTGAGTGGAGGGACCCTTGGGGGTCATGGCTGCCGTCCAGGTGGTCGTGCGGGGCAGTGTGGCTGGGCGGGCCTGGGCTGCTGGATGGGGTGCACACCTTGGGCTGCTTGGAGCCGCGGGTAGCAGGGTGCTGTGGGGGGTGAGCTTTGGGAGCCCCACTCTGTGCTGCTCGCAGGGGGCCCCCAACCAGACTCGGCCCAGGCCCTGGGGATGCCGCAGCTTTTAGCATTAGTCCGCTTCTCCACCACTCTGCTCGATCGAGTTTAGACCCGTCACGCGGAGCACGTCTGTTAGGTGACAGAAGGGGCTGACATTTGAGGCCAGGACGCGCTGCATGGAGCCCTGGGAGGCTGCAGGGGATCCAGGCTGTGCCCAGGCTGCTGGCGCCTTGGTTGCCCTGCGTCACTCATTTGCCCTGAGCCCCCAGCACCGCCTGGAGGAGGAGAAACAGTACCCAGTGGCCCAGGTCTGGGCCTGGCTGACCCCGCCTCGGGAACGTTCCCCAGGAGCGGGTACCCCTCTGTGCCTGCAGCCTCCTCCCCCTGGAGTGCGGGGCTCATCTCCTGGCTGTGGGCCCTGGGTGTCTCGTGCTAGGCTGTGCGCTCCTGGAGGGCAGGTGTATCGATCAGCTACTGTGTGCCGGGCAGGGTCCCAGGGATGTGGAGGGACCAGGCATGCGCAGGCTCCCTCTGGGCCTCCGGATTCCTGGCATGCCCTGGGTGCGGGCACAAGCTGGGGGTGCTGGGGAGTGCGGTGCTGAGTAGCTGAGCGTGGCCCAGTTTCTCTGTGAGTGGGCAGCCCTGGCTAGACCGGGAGAAGTGGGGGGAGGTCTGAGGGCTGCGGGAGGCCAGGGCAGGCCCAGGGAGTGGCCTCGAGGAGAGGGCTGGCTGTGTTGGGTTCTGAGGGATGTGTAGGAGCTCCTGCCCTATAGGCGGACACAGGCAGGGGGCAGGGCGTGGTTCGCCAGCACAGGGCCTGGTGGGGGCCTGGGCCATTCCGGTTGGGACTTGTCCTCGCAGCCTTGGGGGGCTGCTGGTGCTGCGGGGGTGAGTGGGGGTGCTGGGCTTCCTTCCAGCCCAAACTCTGGGGCTCACTGTGAACTTCCTCTGCAGACGTGGTTTCGCTGTGTCCCAGGGGAGGTGTGGGGAGCTGGTGCTGACCGTGGGCTGGGGGTGGTGCTGAGACCCTCCACCATGCTGAGGGGTGTCCAGCGGGGAGGCGGCTGGAGATCCTGCTCGGACGTTCCTCCCGAGGCCCGCGGGGGCTTATTCTGCTGAAGTCTCATCTTGGCCTGTGGCCGTGTCCCTTGGGAGACCCCGAGGGTGCGGGGCCCTCTAGAATGTGGCTGCTACCTGGGCTCCTCACCCGCAGGGTCACCAGACAGACCCCTGTCCTCCGCCAGGTTGAGCAGAGAGGGCGGCTCGGACGACGGCTGCCACCGCGCTCTGGGCCAAGTGTAGCCAGGAGCCCCAGGGACCAGGCCGTGGCGCCCGGGGAGCCCTAGAGGCTGGGGCCCTTGGGGAGGGGCTGGGGCTGGAGTGGCCGGGCTGAGGCAGGCCGCTTCCCTCCACTGCCGGAGGGCCATGTCCACCCACTCTCCGAGGCCAGGTCCCGCAGGGGGGTCCAGTGCCCGACACGTGTGTATAAATGTAATATATGGCGGCTGGGTCTCCACTTGGCCAGTGCCTTCCTGGGGAGCGGTTAATTACATTTGTGCTGTGTTATGAGGCTGTCTCCCTTTCTGGAATTTATTTTAGCTAATTAGTTGGAAATGCCAGAGTAGTATTTCAGATGATGAGAAGATCATACATTATCATACACAGGGCAATTAGTGCTCCTGACAAATATTTATTGTGGTTTCTTCTCTAAGCGTGCCTCTGGGTGCCCCCAGCCGGCCGACCCCGGGGTGACGGAGGGTCCCTGTCCATCTGCCTAACCATGTTGGTCCCTGCGATTCTGGAGCTTGAAGTGGGGGAAAGTCAGGCCTCTGGGCGGGGGGCATCTGTGCCCACCTCTCCTCCATGGGGCCCCAAGTTGGTGGTCCCGTGTGCGTGGAGTCCAGGGAGCATGATGGTCTCTGGGGGGCGGGGGTCTGCCCCCCTGGCTCCCCGGCGAGGGGCGGGGTGCCCGAGCCTCATGCCGGCTTCTCCTTCCCTCCAGGCTGAAGCAGCGGTGGCCGCCGTGGCGGTGGCGGACACGGTCCGGGACGGGCCCCCTTCCGTGGGCTCTGATGGTGCGTCGAAGACGTGGGGCCTGGTCAGCCCTGCCCCGGGCGCTTCCCCGGGGGGCTCCCCGGGCCCGTCAGCTGCAGCCTCCTTTTTCCTCAGGTACGTCCTCCTGGGGGCCTGGCCCGGGGGTGGCCTGACGGGGCCTCGGGCTCGGGGCCTGGCGGCCTGCGGGCCTCTCCGGGGAGGGCTGTGGCCTGCCTGCTGTCCAGCCGAGCAGAGGGGGGTTTCTGGGGCCTCCTGGGTCACCGTGGCGACCGTATGTCTGGAGGCCTCTCCCAGCTGGGCGTTCTTGGGCGGGTCATGTCTGGTCTCTGGGCCCTCTGTGCCTCGGTTTCCTCGTTTATCCAGTGGCGCTTCCTGGGAGGCGTCGCACGCTGACGGCGGGAGGACCTCAGCCGCAGCTGGTGGACATCCCCAGGCGGTCCTGGGCCGGTTCCAGCGGGAGGGGGCGGGTGGCGTGGACGGGAGGCAGGGGCAGGCAGGCCTCAGGGCAGCTGGCCCTGCAGCTAGGGGCACAGGGCGGAATGGGCCCGAGGGAGCGTCCCTGGGCCACCGGGGAGGTTGGCGTGAGCTGCGGCGGGTGTCCTGGGGGCTCCTGTTGCCCGGGGGCCCCCAGCACATCATCTCACTGGTGGTGCCCTCGTGTGCCCAGCTCCCCTTGCCGGGGGTGGGGGGTCCCAGGTATGATGGTGGCGATGAGTCGTGTTGGCCGGCCCCCCAGGTCACTGTCCCATCAGCCCCTGCGGGCGTGATAAGCTCATCGTTGTGTCTCAGGAGCCTGCGTCTTATCAGCGTGGCCCGGGGCTGTGGGAAGTGGTGGGGGGAGGCAGGTGGCCGGGGCATGACAGGGGTGCTGGGCAGGTGGGCACACGTGCCGGCCCACAGCCCCAGGTGGGTACCAGGCGCTGGGCTGGTCCTCCTGCCGTGGGGTGGGTGGGGCCTGCCTAGCCGGCCCAGGAGCCCCGTGGAGGTGACAGAGGGCCGATCTGGATTCCTGGAGGGTGGTCCCAGGCCCGGCAGTCTCTGCCCCGGCCTTTGGGGCAGCGGCCACGTCTCGCCAGGCCACGCTTGCTGGAGGATTGCCAGGCTGAGGGCCCCTGGGGAGGAAGACCCACCCTGGGGGTCTGGGGCTGCCCTGGCTCCTTAGCGACCCAGGGCCCGTGGGACGGGGAGCTCCTTTTGTCTCCAGGGAGTGAGGCTGCCTCTGCTGACCTTGGGAAGTTACCATAGAAACAAGCGTGGGGGCTGGGGCTGGGGGCATTGCCGGCTGTCCTTACTGCCAGCCTGTTGGACACCCCTGCTCTCAGCAGCTTCCTTAGGGTCGTGGGCCCAGTCCGGGGGTGGGTGTTGAAGCTGGGAACACTGCCCGGGGCTTGCGCCTGATTTGGGTCCAAGACCCTCTGCTCCTTGGGGCTGCGGATGCTTCACGGTCCTGAGGGGGTGGTCTCAGCTTCATGCCCTTCTTTGTTCTGTGTTGGGGAGGCGCTTGTCTGGATTCCCCCGGAGGTGAGGAGCTCCTGGACCCCTGGGGGGAGGTCTCAGGAACAAGCTGAGGGCACGCTCTCTGCCCAGTCGTGGGCCCCCAGGGGGCAAAGTCGACCCCCAGCCTGTACCCTGCCCCCTGGTTTCCGGTTGATTGGGGGCAAGGTGGCAGCGTGCAGTCTTTGAAGGGGCCAAGCAGTGTCGCCCACGCGCTGAGGGCACAGAGGCAGGTTTTGAGGGTTGTGTAGGAGGCTGTTGTCTGCCCAGTGGAGGCAGAATAGGGTGGGCTCAGGGGTCAGGGGTCCCTGAGTATCCCCTGGGGGCCGGCACACTAGCCTCGGGCTTTTCTGGGTCTTCCCGACCACCTTTGAGCCCCTTACCTGCCATGGCTGAGCCATGGTGGAGGGTGACTTTGGGGCCGACTTGCTGCGAGTCCCCTCGGCAGGGGCGGCGGTGGGCTCCCTCCGGGCGGCGCTCCCAGGCACCCCCGACCCACTGTACTGCAGCCTCGGGCGCCTCCTCCCCTGCGTCTGCCCGGACGGCCAGGCCGCGGGACATCAGGGTACCCGGCAGGGGCCCAGGGTGGGATGGGTGCTGCCCAGAGGCCCCTGCCAGCGGGGCTCCGTGGCGAGGAGTCTGGGGGCCTCGGGGTGAAGGGCCCAGGTGACATGAGACTGCAGGCAGGCACGACAAGGGTCAGGGCTGCTGGGACCCTGGGCCTTGGTCTCAGGGGTCCTGCCCCTCTTAGCCGCCCTGCACTGTTGGACCCTGATGGGCCCCTCCCGGGGGTGGAAGCAGGCCAGGCGTGCAGGGCGTGGCCCAGTCCTCCAGCCTCCTGGCGGCCCAGGTCAGAAGCTGGTAACTGACCCCGCTCACATCCAAACGGGCCCCGTGCCTCCTTGGGGTGAGTAAAGGCCTCACCGTCAAGGCCAACTGCCTGTGAAATTACCTTCTTGTTTGGAAGAGGCAATTTTTCTTTGTAAAAAGGCAAATATTTTCCTTTCTGTTTATGTGAATCAGCGAGCAGGGCCTGTGAACCTCGGAAAAAGGGCTCTGGGATTCGGTGAGAGGGCTGGGGGCTCAGGGCGATGCTTAGAGGGGCTGGGTCCCTCCCTCCCTTACTCGCTCCCGCACCCGTTCTCTCACTCCCGCCCTCACGGCCCCATCCTCCGCATCCCCTGGGTCCTTGGTCTGAGCCAACACCTGCCCTGCAGAGTTCCCTCGGGGTGGGGCTCAGCCATGTACGCTCAGGGCAGAGAGGGGTTCCCTTGGTAGCGGGAGGAAGCCGAGAGTGGGGGCATCAGGGTGGGCTTCCTGGGGGAGGTGTCCTCTGAGGACGAGGAGAACTGTGTGTGCAGGAAGTCGTCCCTTCAGAACCGGACCACGGGGAGGTACCCACACGGCCCCCTTGGGTCCCACCTTGAGCTCCCCCTGCCCACTGCTCCCCAGCAGCGCAGTGGGTGTTCAGAGTCCTGAGTGTGGGGTCTCCTCGCCCATCCCCACTGCCCAGAAACCAGGTCTGTGCCCCTAGCAAGCTGGGCCCTGCAGAGATGCGCCCCCCACCCACCCCAGGCCACGTGAGTTGAGACGCAGTACCCAGTGGCTGACGGGCTTGTCCCGGGTGTGAAGGGGCCTGGATTTCATCAAAGGGGAGCATGCTGTCCCGGGGCGCTCTGAGTCACCCCTGCTGAGCCGAGCCTGTAGGAGCAGAGACCTGGGGTGCCGGCAGGCTGGGGCGCAGCCTCCTGGCTCCCCGCCCCAGGGGGCTGACCCCGCGCAGGCAGGGAGGAGGGGGCACCCGAGTTCGGTTGGATCACGGGGCAGAGATGCTGGCCAGGGACGTCCCAGCCCCCCGGGCCTGGCGGGGCCGCAGATGGCCGAGGGCCTAGTGTCTGTCCATTGGCGAGACCTGGGCATGTCCGGTGGGGAAGGGCACCTCCCGGGGCGCTGTCGGAGCCCTGGAGCTGTCGGGGCGGGGCTGAGTGAGGCCCATGCCAGAACCTGGGCTCCCGAGGGGGTCATGGAGGGCAGGTGCCCCGGCAGGCCGAGCCCTGCCCTCTGCTCGTGGACTCCACAGCCGGATGGCATCCGGCCTCTCCCGGCGCCTCCCCCGTCCTCCTGGTCTCCCCGAGCCTCGGGGTGCGGGTTCTGGATATCCCCCTGGCCTTGAGGGGGGCCTGGGGGTTCCGGGAGGAGCAGGGTGGGGGAGTTGCCTTGGCCGTGGCGGTCTGCCGATCTATCTGGTCACCCTGAGGGTCCAGCCGGAGCCCCCCGGGCAGGCTGGTTCTGGGCAGTCCTTGTGATGCCCTTCCCTGACGTCCAGGCTGCAGGGCCCCAGTGCCCACTGGAGGTGAGCCGACCCCATGGGTGCACATCTGTGTCCCGCTCTCCTGCCCAGGCAGACTCGGGGCCACCCCACCTGCCCTGGTTGTCCCCGGGCAGGGCCTGGGGCAGGGCTGCCCGCTACACTGCAGGCGTCTGAGTCGGGCGGTCGTGTCTTCCCGTGGGGGTGGTGGGTGGGGAGCTGTGGCCTCACCCGGGGTGGCCGGAGTCCAGGGCAGCAGGCTTGGCTGGGGAGTGGGTGGGGCGGGAGGAGCCCCGAGAGCTGAGCTGGAGGGGCCCCTGCTCCTACCCTGCCCAGTCCAGCTGCCTTCCCGGACGGTCGTGCTGCGGCTCCACGCGGCCGCGTCCTGCCTTCTGAGTCCCGTCCCGGCTTCTCGCCCTGCACCTGCGGACACTCTCAGCCTCCCCCCTGCCCCGGGTGTGATGCGTGTGTGGGGTGGGGGCGGCGGGAGGGGGACGCGGGACTCCTCTGTCCAGGAGGCTTCAGGGCCTGGGTGGAAACGGGCTATGTCTGCTCGTGACTGGAGAAGCCGCGGCCCTCCCTGGCTGAGGGTGCCGGCCCGCTCACACGCCCCGGGCCCTCCCCGCCCCGCGTGCACCGGCCGCCCCACCGCGCTATTAAGGAGCCACCACGCAGCGTAGATTACTTTTATTTTCCTGGATGACACCGCGCTAGGAGGAAAGCCGTCCCTGGGGTCTCTTAAAAGACAACTCCTATTAAAGATGAGAGGAGTTAAGCAAAACGCCGGCAGCTCTGCCGAGTGGGAGGCAGGCTGAGGGGCCGCGCTGCCCGCGGTGCGGGGCCGCCTGTCGGGAGCTTTGGAGACGGATGGGGGGGACCAGAGCTGGGGCTGTGGGATGGACAGTGGGCGCTGAGGGCCAGGCTGTGGGATGGACAGTGCGGACCAGGGCCAGGGCTTTGGGACGAGAAGGATGTGTGCAGCAGGAGCAGGCCGGGGAGCCGGGCTGGGTGGGTTCTTTGAGCCCTGGCCTCCCATCCCTTTCACTGGGAGGTGGGGGCGGGGAGGCAGGGGTGGCTGATGGCGGCCGGGGCCCTCTGGACCCAGGCCCAGCATCTGCTTCCTCTGTCACCTGGTGTCGCCTTGAATGCATTAGTGCACCAGGGCTGCTCACAAGGGCCCCTGGGGGGGTGGGGTCACGTCTCCCACGTTAGAGGTGGGGAAATTGAGGCATGGAGCCTCTCAGTCACCACATGTGGGTCACATGGCCTGGGAGTGATGGAGCCTGGTGGCTGAGCTGGGGGAGGACAGTGGAAAAAAAAGGATGTGCTCGGTGCAGGGTGCGGGGAGGGGCCAGGGTCCCGCCTCTGCCTGGGCCCTCTCGCCTGGTCTGAACTGGCCAAGCCGCCACGGGCTGGACGTGGCAGCCTGCAGCCCCGGGGGCCTCTGCGTGGCTGGCGGGAAATAAACTGTGGGCTGAGAGCTGCTTGCAGGGAGGGGCAGGCGTCAGGACAGCGCTGAGTGCCCTGCCCCCCGTCCCCCCATCCCCCTACCCCACGGACTTCAGCGGGGTCCTGCAGCTGTGGCCGCCCCCTGCACCCCCTTGCCTGCTCAGGGCCACCTCCAAGGCCAAGGACAACCCCAGCAGTGTTGGAAAGGTAGGCCCCACCCCGAGTTGGGGGTGTCCCTGGGGTGGGACGAGGCTGGGGTGTCTGGGCACGTGTGGGGTGGGAGAGCGGGCAGTGAGAAACCCTGCTGCCTTCTCCGGGGCTGGAGCAGGGGGGTCCGTGTCCAGATGGGCTGACTGAGGCCCGGGCCACCTGGATGCTCCAGACGGCGGTGGGAAGCCTGGGGGACTGGGGGTGGGGGGCGATATGGGAAATGGGTGGGGGGGGCGGTCCCAGGAACACTGGCCACTCCCAGAGCAGGGTGGGGCGACCAGGGCTTCCTGGGACTCAGGGCTGGGGTCTGACTCCAGGAACCCCCTCCACACCTCGTCTCTTAGGCAGGGCGGGGGCATGGCTGGGGCCCCTCAGCTCTCCAGAGTCCGGACAAAGCCCTGCTGCATCCTGACATGGTAAAAGGGGACGGGGTGCTCAGCCGAGTGGAAATGCTCCCGGGTTCGGGGGGCCAGGCCCGCAGTGTGAAGGGCCCTGCCTGTCACAGCCGGCTGGCTCTAAACTCCTGTCCCTTCTGCTGAGACAGTTTCCATCTGGACCCTGCCTGGGCTGCTCGTGACTGCCCCCAGGCCCGGGCCAGGCTGCATGAGCACCTTAGTGCAGGCGGGGAGCCTGAGCCGTAGAAGGCCGTGGGGGGAGGGCAGGGCCCCGGCCCTGAGGATGGGCCCCTTCGGCCCCCTCTGAGCCTCCCACCCGGGCGGCCTCTGCGGTGCCCAGAGGCCCACGCCGCCTGGATGCATACCCCTGGGTTCAGTCCATCCTGCTGCCTAGGTCGCGCCCCCCGGGGCTTCTGCTCTGGGTCTGGAGAGGGACCTGGCCGTGGGGGAGGGGCTCTAAACACTCTGGGCCTGGCTCTGCCCTGGGCCTGTCGCTGGACCCTGGGCCTGGGCCCACTCAGTGGGGCTGGGCGGCCAGAGGGGCTGGAGGAACCTCGAGGCACAGACCTGCCTTTCTTGCTGCTGCCCTGGTGCTTGGAATCCACAGGCCTCCCCCTCCTCCGGCGGGGGCCAGGTCCCCCAGTCAAGTCTACCGGGGCAGGGCCCCCCTGCTCTCTGGCAGAACCCCACTCCCGGAGGCAGGAAGCCCGTGGCCACTGTTCTAGCCCTCTCCCCTTGCCCCTCCCCCGCAGGGCCCCTCTCCCTGACTCCCTGGATGATGTTATTTGCACGAATATCACATAGTCAGAAATGCCTCCTGAAAGGCATTTAATATTGTCAGAGAAAAGAAGTTAGATTACGCTCGATTCTTGACATTAATGTGCCACTTAAGATAATTCATCATCGTGCGGAATTACAGAAGACGGCCCTTCCCCCCACGCCTGCCCGGGCCCCCTCTTAGGAGTGGAAGACCCTTTTTATGCAGAATGTATTTGTTCCCTACCTGGCAGCTACTCAGCGGGCGCTTTGCAATAGCTGAACATTTAGGAGGAGATGTGCTTGTCTGGCGGGGAGACCCTGTCGTTTCCCCTGGTAATGAAAGGCCCTCATAGACGTGGAGCTGGCATGGGGGTGGGGACCCCAGCGGGGCAGCCCAAGCGGGCTTTTCCCCGCCGGGAACACACTCCAATCTGCAGAACTCATTTGGCTCCTGAAGTGGCCTGGAGTTCACACTGAAAAAAAAATTGCCAAAAATTACTGGGAAGTGCACATTTTCGTCTGCTTGGCAGCAGCGTTTGGAAATGAAATAGTTTTGTTCATGTCATTGGGGAATAAAAGAATCGATTCTCGTCTAATGGGGCCCGGGTTGGAGGAGCTCAGTAGAGGAGTATTTCTCCCCGAGTCTCCCCCAGGACCGCCCCTCCTTAGCGGAACGGGCTTGCATGTCAATTTGCCACATGCCGAAGGGGCATCGGTGGCGCCTTGCGCGAACTACCCACGGTAAACCAATTTTGCCAACGTTATGTATCTGTCACTTACAATTAAATCCGTGAAAAATACTGGCTCTGAGATGAGCCTGGTAATTTGATTTACACTGTGGTGGAGAAATCGGACGTTTCAGTGGAGGGCGGTGTCCTCCTGCAGAAGCCGGGGTCTAGTGCCTTCTCCTGGGGGGTGGGGGGCTCACCTGGGGTGGCTTGCCCAGCAGCTCTGGGCCCCTGTCGGCCCGGGGTCTGCGTTCTCTGTGCAGGTTTTGGGGTGTATGCAGTGCAGCTTGCTCTGGGCTCTTGTATCTTAAGTTTCTGGCCTCCACCCCCACCCCCTGCCCCCAGGCTTCTGTTCGCTTGGGGGCCTTGGGGCTCGGGGTCCAGCCCCGGAAGCTGGGCATAAAGGCCAATGGGCGGCACGGGAGGCTTTGCATCTGTTTTTGGGTTTGGGGGACACACAGTGGCAGAGGCTGCCGGGAGGCCTGCCGGCCCCTGAGCTCACAGAGCCTGTCCCGCCCTGTCACCCCGGCCTTGGTCTCCCCACCATCTCCCCTGACCCCCGACCTCAGAATCCCTGTCTCCTCCTGGATCAACCTGCCCTCTTCCTCCGGTCCTCATGCTGATGGGCTTGCCTCTGGTCTTGCCTGGTCCTGGGTGTGAGTCTGGCCTCTGGCAGCTCTGGGGTCAGAAGCCCCGGAGCCTGTTTCTCCCAAGGGTGGCGCGGGCCTTGGCCTGTCCCGCTTCAGAGTTTGTCCCTCCTTCATTCCCCACGCTCTCGCTGCCCACCCTGGGCCGCAGGCTGGGGAGGATGTACTCGGGGCCATGAGGGCCTCTGTCCTGGGGCTGGGAGCTGGCCGGAAGGGCTCCCTGGAGGAGCTGAGGCTGGACGAGACTGGGGGTGGGGGCGGGCCCCTCGCCCTCCCTCTGTGTCCTGTCCGCCCGGCCTCAGCGTGCCACCGTCTCTCCTTGGGCCGCACCTTGCTGTGTGCAGAGCCCGCCCGAGGTTGGGAGTCAGGAGTTGGGGAGGGCCTTGCTCAGGGGCAGCCCCTGTCCACCATGGCGCGGGGGCAGGGGGTCGGGGGAGGACACGCCCCTGGGAGCACTCCTGAGGCTCTGATGGGGCCCCTGCAGGAGGGCCCGGGTCTTGCTCCCCCTTACTGCTTGTCCCCCGCTCTCCCCTTCTTGCTCCACCCTCAGATTTGGGGTTTGGGATTTCAGGGGACCCGCTCGCAGGCTGTGTGATGCAGGTGGGACAGTTGCCGTCTCTGAGTGCATTCCTCCCTTCTCAAGCCTGCGCGGGCCTGGGGGTTGGGGGGAGGTCACTGTAATGGCTGGCGAGGTTGGGGAGCCGGCAGAACTGGGGGGGCCCGTGCAGGTGACTCTGCTCTCGAAGGCCCGGGTCTTTGGGCTTACTCCCCCAGTCCTGGCTTGGGGCCAGCGAGAGGGTGTAAGGACCCTCGTGTTGTGGGGGTGCCCTCTGAGTCCCGTCCTCGTCTTCTCTCTCTGCCCGCTGGGGCAGCTGTGGTCTGTTTCCTCTGGCCACCCTGTGCCCCCCTCTGTGGGCTCCCCAATCCGTGCTGGCGTGCTCCTCCCACCAGGCCTCCCTGCCTCCCTGCCTTGTTGACCTCATGTGGGATGTGCTCCCGCCTGGGGCTGGGGCGCGGATGCCGCATTCCTGTGGCAGGGACCCCATGCCGGTCGGGCCCGCTGTCCCGACTCGCGCGAGGCTGCCCCTGCCCTGTAATTAGCACTGCTCAGAGGCCCGCTCCGCCCGCCTCCCCAGGTGAAGGTCATGCTGCGGATCTGGCCTGCGCAGGGGGCCCAGCGCTCGGCCGAGTCCACGTCCTTCCTCAAGGTTGACCCTCGAAAGAAGCAGGTGACCCTCTACGACCCGGCCGCCGGGCCCCCAGGCAGCACAGGCCCCCGACGCACCCCCACGGCTGCGGTCCCCAAGATGTTCGCCTTCGACGCAGTCTTCCCCCAGGACTCGGAGCAGGTGAGGCGGCGGGGCGGCCTCGGGCGGGGTGGGTTGGCAGCTCAGGACGACGCGAGATGGTCAGATCCGCACCGCTTCTCGTGCAGGGCAGGCAGGAGACAATGAGAGGAGGCCCGGGTGCCGGGGGTTGGGTGCGGCTGGGCAGACTGGCTGTGTTTGCCCTTCGCTGCTGGCCTCCCCATCCTTGTGTGTGTCCACCAACTCCTGGGCTGCTTCTCAGGCCCAGTTTCCAGAGCCTGCCCTCCGAAGCTTTCCAGCAGAACTTGTTTTCCCCGGGATGCTCCTCTGTGTGTCCTGTGTGTGTGGTGATCACGCGTGTGGTGTGGTGTGTGCCTGCCATGATCACGCATGCGGTATGCTGTGAGCCCATTGTGATCACACATGTGGTGTGGTGTGTGCCCTCTGTGAACTTGTGTGGTGTGGTGTGTGCCCCCATGATCACACATGTGCTGTGGTATGTGCCTGCCATGGTCATGTGTGCATTGTGGTATGTGCCCACCATGAACACGTGCAGTGTAGTGTGTTCCTGCTGTGATCACATGTGTGGTGTGGTGAGTGTCCATCGTGATCACACATGTGGTGTGGTGTGTGCCCTCTGTGAACACGTGTGTGGTGTGGTGTGTGCCCACTGTGATCACACGTGTGGTGTGTGTGTGCCCTCTGTGATCACACGTGGTGTGGTGTGTGTCATCTGAAACCGTGTGTGGTGTGGTGTGTGTCATATGTGAACACGTGTGTGGTGTGTGTGCCCTCTGTGATCACACATGTGGTGTGTGTGTGCTCTCTGTGAGCGCGTGTGTGGTGTGTGTGCCCTCTGTGAACGCATGTGGTGTCTGTGTGTGCCCACTGTGATCACACGTGTGGTGTGGTGTATGCCCTCTGTGAGCACGTGTGTGTGTGTGTGCCCTCTGTGATCACACGTGGTGTGGTGTGTGTCATCTGTGAAACCGTGTGTGGTGTGGTGTGTGTCATATGTGAACACGTGTGTGGTGTGGTGTGCCCACTGTGATCACACATGTGGTGTGTGTGTGCCCTCTGTGAGCGCGTGTGTGGTGTGTGTGCCCTCTGTGAACGCATGTGGTGTGGTGTGTGCCCTCTGTGATCACACGTGTGTGTGTGTGCCCTCTGTGATCACACGTGGTGTGGTGTGTGTCATCTGAAACCGTGTGTGGTGTGGTGTGTGTCATATGTGAACACGTGTGTGGTGTGTGTGCCCTCTGTGATCACACGTGTGGTGTGTGTGTGCTCTCTGTGAGCGCGTGTGTGGTGTGTGTGCCCTCTGTGAGCGCGTGTGTGGTGTGTGGTGTGTGCCCACTGTGATCACACGTGTGGTGTGTGTGTGCCCTCTGTGAGCGTGTGTGGTGTGGTGTGTGCCCACTGTGATCACACATGTGGTGTGTGTGTGCCCACTGTGAGCACACGTGTGGTGTGGTGTGCCCTCTGTGAGCGCGCGTGTGGTGTGGTGTGCCCTCTGTGAGCGCGTGTGTGGTGTGGTGTGCCCTCTGTGAATGTGTGTGTGGTGTGGTGTGCCCTCTGTGAGCGCGTGTGTGGTGTGGTGTGCCCTCTGTGAATGTGTGTGTGGTGTGGTGTGCCCTCTGTGAGCGCGTGTGTGGTGTGGTGTGCCCTCTATGAGCGCGTGTGTGGTGTGGTGTGCCCTCTGTGAGCACACGTGTGGTGTGATGTGCCCTCTGTGAGCGCGTGTGTGGTGTGGTGTGCCCTCTGTGAGCGCGTGTGTGGTGTGGTGTGAGCCCGCTCTGGCCAGAACGGCAGTGTGCTGTGTGCGTGCGTGTGTGCCTTCAGCTGTGTCTGTCGGCTCACGTTGCGAGTGTGTGTGTCTGTGCCCCGTCGGTGTGTGCTGTGTGTCCACGTGCAGACCTCTGTGTCCTTAGCCCTGGTGTCCTCCCAGCCACCTCGTGGACTCACTGTCCACGTACGATGAGACGGAAGAGGCGGGAGGCGGGGTGGCGGCCTGACTCTGTGCCCCTCCCGCAGGCCGAGGTCTGCTCGGGGACTGTGGCCGACGTGCTCCAGTCGGTGGTCAGCGGGGCTGATGGCTGCATTTTCTCCTTCGGCCACTCAAGCCTCGGTGAGTGCCCCGTACCGCCCACTCTGCAGTCTCTGGAGGCCATTTCCTGGGGGGCCGGTGCTGGGCCTGTCCCGTAAGGGCAGGGAGAGGGAAGCCGAGAGGACAGGCCTGGACGTCAGGCGGCCGGGGAGCGGGTGAGATGGGGCTGCCGGGCTGGGCCGGGGCCCGCCTGGCTCTGAGGGCCCGTTCCCTGGCTCTGAGGGCCCGTTCCGCTGGCTCTGAGGGCCCGTTCCCTGGCTCTGAGGGCCCGTTCCGCTGGCTCTGAGGGCCCGTTCCCTGGCTCTGAGGGCCCGTTCCCTGGCTCTGAGGGCCCGTTCCCTGGCCTCCAGGCAAGTCCTACACCATGATCGGGAGGGACAGCTCGCCGCAGAGCCTGGGCGTCGTGCCCTGCGCCATCTCTTGGCTCTTCAGGCTCATGGACGAGCGCAGGGAGAGGACGGGCGCCCGCTTCTCCGTCCGCGTCTCGGCCGTGGAGGTGTGTGGCCGGGGCCAGAACCTGCGGGACCTGCTGGCCGAGGTGGCCTCCGGCAGCCTGCAGGACGCCCAGTCCCCGGGCGTGTACCTGCGGGAGGACCCGGCGTGCGGTGCGCAGGTACGCCGACCGCGCCGGGGGGCGGGGCTGCGGGCTGGGCGGAGGCGGGGCCTTGGGCTGGGGGGTGGGACCGCGGCCTGGGGGCGGGGCTGCGGGCTGGGGCGGAGGCGGGACCTTGGGCTGGGGGGTGGGACCGCGGCCTGGGGGCGGGGCTGCGGGCTGGGGCGGAGGCGGGGCCGCGGGCTGAGTGGGGCGGGGCCGCGGGCTGGTTGTTGGGGTGCCGTGGGGACGACTCGGGTGCCGACCCCCCTGTCCGTCCGTTCATCGGTCCTCAGCTCCAGAACCAGAGTGAGCTGCGGGCACCCACGGCTGAGAAGGCGGCCTTCTACCTGGACGCGGCACTGGCCGCCCGTGAGGACGCCCGGGGAGGCTCCCACGTGCTCTTCACGCTGCACGTGTACCAGTACCGCGTGGAGAAGTGCGGTAGAGGCGGAAGTAGGTGGCCGCGCGCCTGCGTCGTGGGATCAGGCCCCTCCGCCCGGGACAGTCCTGGGCGTCCTGGGCCTGGGGGTCCTGGGGCTGAGCCTTTTCCTCCCGCCCTGTGGTTTCAGTGTCTGGAGGCCGCAGCCGCCTGCACCTCATTGACCTGGGCAGCTGCGAAGAGGGCCCTGGGGGCCCCCCATCCCTGTCCTTGTCGGCCTTGGGCAGCGTCATCTTGGCGCTGGTCAGCGGAGCCAAGCATGTGCCCTACAGGTGAGTGGGGGCTCCTGGGTGGGCCTGGGGATCCGTCCCAGCCCACCTCAGCCGTGTCCACTGTGTCCATGGTCCTTGATCCCTCTGTCCTTTCTTCCTCACTGTGTGACCGGCTTTGCTACCCGAGGGCTGGCAGGGGGTCCTGCTGCCCGGGGCCCGGGGGCACAGAGGTGGGTGTCAGCCCGACCCGGGGGCCCCCAGGCACGGCCCTGGTCCAGCTAGAGGCCCTCCTCCCTCCCTCCAGCCCTGTAGCAGCCGCCACACGCAGTGGTCCCCCAGCACCCCTCCCAGGCCCTCAGCCTCTGAGCCTCGCCCCCCGACCCCCAGGGAGCACAGGCTCACCGCACTGCTGCGGGAGACCCTGGCCACTGCCAGCTGCCGCACCACCATGATCGCCCACGTGTCTGACGCGCCGGCCCGCCATGCCGAGACGCTCAGCACCGTGCAGCTGGCTGCCCGTGTCCACCGCCTGCGCAGGAAGAAGGTCAAGGTAGGTTCCACCTCCCGGGCCCCTGCCTGCACGGTGGTGGTGCTGGTGCCACTCCTGCCCCGGAGGAGGCACCCCCAGGAGACCAGAGCAGCTCACACTGGGGGCTGTGGTGGCCTGGTCTCTGTTCACCCAGCCCCGGGGAGGCATGTGGCCAGAGCTGTGGCCTCCCAGGCCTAGTCCTGCAGGGCACACCCTGGGGCCCTCACTGGGTCTGGAGGATGCAGTCAGAGCGCCCTGGGGCCCGGACCCTGGGTCTGAACCCTGGGTTTGCACTTAACGCTCTGTGTGCTGAGGGCGTATCCTCGCCTCCCTGCGACTCGGCTTGCCGCTTTCTGGGATGTTGCTGAGAAGGTCTGTTTGTGTTGGGGACCTGAGACCTTGCTGGTGGCCGCGCCGCCACTTCCGTCCCTCGAGTGTGGCGTGTGGCTGGGGGTGCTGGGGGAGACAGGCAGGTGGGACGCCGCTCAGGGTGTCCCTGCTCTGTCCCCAGTACACGTCCAGCTCCTCTGGCGGGGACAGCTCATGCGAGGAAGGCCATGCCCGCCGTCCCCCGCACCTGCGCCCCTTCCACCCACGCGCCATGGCCCCGGACCCCGACCGCCTGGCCGCCAGCTCGCCCGGCGACCCCGACTACTCCTCCAGCAGTGAGCAGTCCTGTGACACGGTCATCTATGTGGGGCCTGGCGGGACGGCACTGTCGGACCGCGAGCTCACGGACAGTGAGGGCCCGCCTGACTTTGTGCCCATCATCCCCGCCCTGAGCCGCCCCGGTCCCGCCCTGAGCCGCCCTGGTCCCGCCCCGGGCCCGCGGGAGGCCGACCACTTCCGCTGCAGCACCTTCGCGGAGCTTCAGGAGCGGCTGGGCTGCATTCCTGGCACTGAGGGCCCCCTTGGGGCCCAGGCTGGCCCGGCTCGCGCGGGCAGGAAACCCTTGCTGCCCGAGACTGCAGCCCCCAGGACACCTGTGGGCGCTCCGCTGGCTGCCAGCACGCCTCGTGGCAGCCCCAGCCCAGATGCCCAGCGGGGTGCCCTGGAGCCCCCCAAGGCTGGCGCTGACCAGAGAGAGGAGGGCAGCACCAGGCCTGAACTGCCCACGCCAGATAAGGCCAAGGCGGGCGGAGGCGGGAGGCCACTGCCCAGCCCGGCCCCGCCCCCGCCTTGGCGGCCAGAGGCTGGCGGGGCCTCCGTGGAGCCTGGTGGGAGCGATGGTGCGGGTGCAGTACGGACGCCCCCCGTGGGCAGGAGTGGGCAGGCCGAGCACCCCTGCCCGCCTGCACGTGGCCACCGGCTGGAGCGGGGCCTGCTGACCACCACGGTCACCCTGCAGCAGCCCGTGGAGCTGAATGGGGAGGATGAGCTGGTGTTCACGCTGGTGGAGGAGCTGTCTCTGGGGGGGCTGTCCGGCCCCGGGCGCCCCTCCAGCCTGGCCAGCTTCGGCAGCGACTGCTCCCTGCAGGCCCTGGCCTCGGGTTCGAGGCCAGTGAGCATCATCAGCAGCATCAACGATGAGTTCGACGCGTACACGTCACCGCCCCCCAGCGGGGCCCTGGACGAGGGGGCCTGGGCGGGCGGCAGCCAGAGCTCGTCCGGCAGCTCCTGGCTCAGCGAGGTCAGCGTGTGCACCGCTGACAGCCTTGGCCCCACGCCAGCGGGCCCCCCAGACTCTGTCGGCTCCGAGGTGCTGGCAGGGCCCCCCTCACTGGGCTCCTCCGTCCCGGACGGTGGCTCCCCGGAGGACAGCGGCCTTCAGTGCACAGAGCGCCGCAGACTGGACAGTCCCGGGCCCGCCCGCGGTCCTCGTCCCGCAGAGGAGGCCATGGCGGCCCCCTGTCGACCTTGCCGGGAGCCGTCTGCCGTGTCTCCCCGGGGGCCAGCCCCCGCACAGACCCTCCACTCCAGCCTGCCCCGCACACCGAGGACTACCTCTGTGGCCAGTCGCGTGGGCTGCCCCCGCCTGGCCGCGGGCCTGCCTGGCCCCGGAGGCCTCTTTGAGGATCCTTGGCTGCTCCGGGCCGATGACTGTGGCCCGCCGCCCCTGGCTTCAGCCAGCAGGGCCCCCTGCCCAGCTCCAATGCTGGCTTCTGCCCGCAGGGTCGTGGACGGCTGTGAGGTGGGCCAGGCGGCCCACAGGCCGGAAGTCGTGGCTCTGATCCCACCCCTGCGGAGGGGGGCCACCACGCTGGGGGTGAGCACCCCCTCCGCCTCCTTTGGGGACGCCCCGGTGGAGGCAGCGGCCTGCCTGGGCGGCCCCAAGGCCACCCCCGCCAGCAAGAAGAGTGCGGCTCCCAAGGGGGGCTTCTGTGCAAGGCCTGGAGGTGTGGCCCCTCCAGCACCCCCTGTGCGCAAGTCCAGCCTGGAGCACAAGACTGGCCCGGGGCCGTCCTCTCCGCAGGCTGGGAGCCCAGCTTGGCCCGGGGCTGCTGCCTTCCTCCGAGGGGACGGGGAGGCCAGGCCTGGCGGCCGGGCTGACCACTCCATCCCCAGGGCCACGTCCAGCCTGAAGGCACGGACCGGCAAGGCAGAGGCAGCATGCCGACTCGCCACTCACGGGTCTCTGGAGCGCTGCGAGAGCCTGGCGCATGGCAGCAGCAAGGCCAGGGAAGCCCCCAGCCGGCCGGCCCGCGCTGTGCCCCGGCTGGGAGTGCCGCCCACCAGCCCCACGCCCGGGCCCGCGCCGGCCTGTAGGAGCAGCCCCGCCAAGGGCGTGGGGGCCCCCAAGCCCCCCAGCAGCGGGAGCAAGGGCCGCAGTGCAGTGGCCGGCGGGCCCCGGGCCCTGGGCTCTTCGGCGAAGCCATTGGCCCCCGTGGCGGGTAGGGCCCCTTGCGGCCCCGTGACGGGCCCCAGGGCAGCCCCACGGGCGGCGCCAGGCGTCGGGGCCAAGGCCAGCCGGGGCACCATCATGGGCACCAAACAGGCGCTGCGGGCCACCCACAGCCGCGTCCACGAGCTGGCTGCCGGGGGCGCCCGCAGCCGGGGTGGCGCCTCTTGGGGCTCGGCCGACTCGGACAGCGGCAACGACAGTGGCGTGAACGTGTCAGAGGAGCGGCCAGCGCTGCCCTCCCCGTACAGCAAGGTGACGGCACCCCGGCGGCCGCAGCGCTGCAGCAGCGGCCACGGCAGCGACAACAGCAGCGTGCTGAGCGGGGAGCTGCCGCCCGCCATGGGCCGCACGGCGCTCTTCTACCACAGCGGGGGCAGCAGCGGCTACGAGAGCGTGCTGCGGGACAGCGAGGCCACGGGCAGCACCTCCTCGGCCCCCGACTCCATGAGCGACAGCGGTGCCGCCTCCCCGGGCGCCCGTTCCCGCAGCCTCAAGTCCCCCAAGAAGCGGGCCACAGGTGGGTGTGCGTCATGGCTGCGGGCCACCCTGGACCGCCGGCCACCCCCTCGGTGGATCCCAGGTGCAGGCAGCCGCTTGTCGTGGGCCGGGCACGGGTTGGGCAAGAATTTCCAGACATGAGACAAAACGAAAGAAGAATAAAGTTTATTAGAGCGGGAGATACTGTTAAAACAGCATCAAGGGAGAACCGACGTCGAACGGGGTCCTTAGTCCGCTTTTACACGCAGGCTGCAGGGAGCAGGATGAGGGTCCTGCGGGCCGTTTGCTGATTGGATGAGGCGGGTGTACTGGGTGGGGAAGGGTATGGCAAATACCTTCTTCCTACGGTGCAGGAGAGGAGACAGACTGTAGTGCTCCATTAACAGTGACGCCGTGGGGGAGGGAAGGGCGATGAGGGTCTGGGAGTCCCCTCCCTGCGTTCCCAGACCCTCCTGGGTTTTATCTGCCCTTTCGGCCTGGGGTCACTGCATCCTTGATGGGTCCAGATGCAGGTCGAGGGGATAGGCGTGCCCTGCTCTCTGCGGTTTGTAAATGCACCCCACATGTGCCCTTCTCTGCCCCCCTGTGCTGCCCCTAGGCTGGTCCTCATCCTGTTGGCATGGGATGGCGAGGGTGGGCCCCCCCCCCCAGGTCACCCTGCCGAGGCGTGAGGAGCTGGGAGAGGATGGGGGTCTACCAAGCCCACTGCTCCCATGGCTGGCATCCAGCTGTCTGTCTGGAAGCCCCCGTGTCCGTCCCCTGGACCCCTGTCTCTGTGGACACGGCTTGGATGGGCTGTTTCGCAGGCTGAGTGTGGCTGGGGGATTTGGGCACCGGTGGATGCTTTCGAGGGCCTTGGGAGGGAGGCATGCACGCTCTGATGAATGGGCATGGGAAAGCCGGAGGCTGGCAGGGGTGGTAGAGAGGGGCGTCTCGGGAGACGTGGGGGTGCCAGTGTGGGCCTGGCTTTGGGGTCTGTCCGGGGGCAGTGGGAGTAGAGAGACCTGTGAGTTAGGAGGCCGAGCAGCCCGTTAGGGTGTTCAAGGGTGACTGCCAGAGGTCAAGGGTCGTGGCCTTGAGGCTCTGCCGTGCGGGGAGGCTGCTGTGGCTATCCAGGCGGGAGGTGCTGGGCGGGGGTGCAGCTGGAGTGCGTCTGTTCCATGGGGTAGGGCTGGTCAGGGTTTCTGGCCAGCGCTAGGCTGAGCATTTCGGGATTGGGCCCCTGTGGGCTCTGCCCATCAGAGCCGCAGCCAGGCTGGGGGCTGGGGGCTGGCCTCTGCGCGTCCAGCGCCCGGCTGTCTGTTCCAGGTCTGCAGCGGCGACGGCTGATCCCGGCCCCCCTGCCCGATGCCGCTGCCCTGGGCCGCAAGCCCAGCCTCCCTGGGCAGTGGGTGGACCTGCCCCCACCCCTGGCTGGCGCGCTGAAGGAGCCCTTCGAGATCAAGGTGTATGAGATTGATGATGTGGAGCGCCTGCAGCGTCGCCGTCTGCCCCCCAGGGAGGGCCCGGCGGAGGTGGGGGCAGTGGCGGGGCGCTGGGAGGGCGGGAGGGCTTCTCGGTGCGACTGGCAGCCCGCTGACTTCACCTTCCCCTCTCATCCACAGCCCTCCCAGAGCTCAGAGAAGGTAGGAGCAGCCCCGCTGGGCCTGAGCCCCTGCCAGGGGAAGGGTCCCGTGGCCACCTCTCTTGTGCCCTGGAGTTGGGCCGGTTGGGGGGCATTCCCATGGCAATGGCGCTCATCCTGGGCCTGAGTCCCAGGCCGGCACAGGCGGCCTCGGGGGCCCGTGGTCTGAGCCCCACACGGGTGGGGAGGGGGGCGGTGAGGGAGGGGCAGGGCCTGACCCCTGCCTGCCTTGGAGGCTCCACCGTGCGCCTGTCCAGGCCTGGAGGGTGGAGCGGGGCTCGGGTCAAGGCTGGGGTGCCAGAGCCCCGGGGAGCAGGCTGTCGTCCGTGCCTAAGCACCGCTCCCCCCCACGCGCCCCTCCCTCACCTGTGCCCAGGGCCTGGTGTGCGTCGGTGCCAGGCTGCGGCTGGCCGAGCGCAGGCTGCAGCGGCTGCAGGAGGTGCAGGCGAAGCGGGAGCTGCTACGCGGGGAGCTGGCCGAGACCCAGGGCCGGCTGATGCTGGAGCCGGGCCGCTGGCTGGAGCAGTGTGAGTCTCCCCAGCCCCGCCCGGCACCCCAGTCTGGCCACTTGACCCTGGGCCCAGGGGTGGTGGGGGGACCTGGAGGCTGGAAGGGGGAGAGGCGTCTCCTCGGCCCTGCGGGGACCCCGGGCCTGACCGGCTCTCCGCTGCTCCCCCCACTGCAGTCGAGGTGGACCCGGGGCTGGAGCCTGAGTCGGCCGAGTACCTTGTGGCCTTGGAGCGTGCCACGGCCGCCCTGGAGCAATGCGTGAACCTGTGCAAGGCCCACGTCATGATGGTCACCTGCTTCGACATCAGTGCCGCCACCCCTGCCGCCGCCCCGGGGCCCCAGGAGGTGGACGTCTGAGGCTGGGCCACGGGCCCCCAGGGGGAGGGGACAGGGCGTCAGAGGCTCGAGGATGGGACATGGGATGGAGCGAGGATGTGCTGGGGGTTGGAGGGACGAGGATGTGCAGGGTCCCTTGTGGGACGGCGGGGGCGGGGGTGGGGGGGTCTTGGAGGCGATGGAGCGTGAGGGACGGGAGGGGCCGGCCGAGCCCGCGGGCGGAGGAGCGAGTGTGCAGGACACGGAGGACTGTGACGCAAGTGCCTTTACCCTGGGACTGGGTTTCTCTCCTTTCTGCGTTTGGTGCTAAGGACTCAGACACCAGCACACTGGGTGGTGCCTGTGGCCGTCTGGGGGCCGCTGGGCCGGCTGTCGGATCGGATTGCACCTGGGATACGGCTGGCCGGTTCCGTGCGGCAGAGCGGCCCTGGGTTCGCCAGGCTCCGCTTTAGCTTCAGGTTACTTGTCCTTCAGAGCCGTTTTCCTCTCAACAGATCCGGCCTTAGGGGTCTGCAGACCCCCCATGTGTTCTCTCTGCTGATCTCAGATGGAGCCTGGGGTGGGGTGGGTCTTCTGGGTGAGGGGGGGCGGTGCTGACTCTCCCTCCCCGGGCGGGACCTGCTCTGTCCTGAGTTTGCCAGGAGGGCAGCGCCCAAGGGCTGAATGGAAGGCACCTGTCGCCTTCTTCCACGGCAGGAATTCTTACCAAAACCACAAGCAAAAAAACAAAACAGACCGACACACACACACATTGGGGGATGAGGGTTTTGTAACGGTGCTGTTAGGTTCGTATTTTTGTATCATTTTGCCTACAGATGCGGTATTTGCAGTGGGAACTTGAAGACAAATGATCTCTATGTTTTTATGGTTTTTATGGAAGGTGTCACTGCGGCTGGGCTCTTTCCGGGGTGGAGGTCCCTGGGAGGCCAAATGCAGACCCGGATGAGCCTGCTAACAGGAGCAGGACGTTCCCGTCACGACGGGTTCTTTTTTTCCGACCGTTGTGGATTTTCTAGGGTCGTCCGAACCTTTGTACAAACGTGTAGATAACAGCTTGCTGCAGCTTTTATTTGTGAATAAAAGATGGGTCCCTTGTTCACGAGGCTCCTGAGTCCACCTGGCATGCTGTCCTCTGAGGGTCCTGGGGCGAGGAGGCTGCGGGGGGCCCCCACCCACAAACCCCACAGCGGGGGCCAGCCGTCGGCGAGAGGGCGCTGCCGGGGAGGAGGTCCTGCTGCAAGCCCCGGGCTCCAGCCCCCACCTGCGTTCTGCCCCTCCTCCCACCCCTTTCTCTGGGGGCTGGGCCTGGGCAGGGGCGGTGCCTGGGCCGACAGGAAGCAGCAGTTTCTGGGGGGTCCCTGGCCCTGTTGCCAGAGGCTGTGTTAGCTGGGAACCCTGGCAGTGGTGAGGAGGAGCCCCTCGGGGAACCCAAGCTCCTTCCTTTGCCCCCCGTCTCCGTACCCCGCCTGCCTTTCCAGAACACAGATGCCCGGACCCTCTGCGGGGTCCGGGTCCAGGACCGCCTGAGCCGGCAGGGGCCCCTGATCCAGCACCGTCACCGTCCCCTCCGTGCCTCTCTGCTGTGCTCAGGCCGCCCTGCCCCACAGCCCTGGGGCCCCCACCCCACGCACCCACGCGGGCACCTGGCAGCCCCGCCCAGCCCGCCGGTGCCTGGGACTCCCCACCCCCCAGCCGGTGAGTGTGGGGCCCACTGCCTGGTGGTCTCGCTGTCCTGGGGTGCAACCCCCGCCCGGGGCATCCTCTGCGCTCTCCGCCTGTCTCCCGGGGTCGTGGGGGCCCCCCGGGGGCGTGGTGGGGTGACTCACTGCTGCTCCCCTGTCGGGCGCAGGGCTGGGCCCCAGTGGGCCTCGGGGCACAAGCTGAACAGACGCGTGAGCCCCGTGATCGCGGCCTCTCCCCGAGGAGGGTCGAGCAGGGCCGGAGCTCTCCAGTCTGCAGGCCCCTCCCTGTCCCTAAGCGGGCCTGGTCCTTCCTGTGGCCCCCGGTCCACCGCAGGGGCGCCCAGGCTGCCTCTCTGCTGTCGATGGCCCTGCGACCCCTGGGATCGGGGTCACGTGTCAGCCGCGAGGTTGCGGGACTCTGGACGCCCACCCCCCTCCACGCCCCACAGGTGTCTGTTCTGGGGTCAGGTCTGGTTCCCAGCAGAGACCCAGGCAGGCGCCTCCCAAGCTGCTTCTCCATCACTGAATTTGGAGGTCGTGGGGGGTCAAGACAGGTGTGGTGGGACTCAGGGTGAGGTGGGGGCCTTGCTGGGTAGGCCCCTTCCTTCTGCACAAACCCCTCCTACCCCCTCCCCGCCCTCAGTCACTGAGGGGCCCAGAGCCTGCTTCCCACCAAGACCCACTCCGGCCGCCCACCCCAGCACCTGTCCTGGGCAGGGTCCTCTGGTGGAGCCGGCCGAGGCTGGCGCCGGTGACCTTCGGCGCCAGGGGAGCCCACTTCCCACAGTCCGGGGGAGGCTCGGGAGTTGGTGCCTGCCTTTCCCATGGTGGGGGAGCCCCCCATCCTGGGGCCAGCCCGGGGGCCTGGGCGGCCTTTCATCTGGCCATCAAAGCTGTCAGCCCTGTCATTACAGCAGGGAGCAGCTGAGGACAAGACGCCCATTTTATGGATGGGAAGGCGGAGCCGTCTGGGACCCAGCTGCCGCTGTGAGGCTGTGGGCACCCCGTTCATTCAACACCCGGGGAAGCCGAGACCCAGGGCGGGCGGGGTTGCCCAGGTGTCCCCTCTCCCGGGAGGGGAGGCAGGCCTGGGAAGAGGGCCGTTCCCAGTGGAGGCGGGGATCAGCCAGGCCTGGGAGCCGGCCCCCCAGGGAGGGGGCAGGGGGCCTGCCTGGGCTTCTCGGGGCCAGGGGCGTGAGCCCGCCCAGGCGGCGTCTCTCACGGCCTCTGAGGCCGGTCTGGCACCCCGCCAGTTGGCTACCCCGGGCGAGGTGCCCGCCTGACTCACCCTGCGAGTCCAGGCCTGTTCCACCCGCCCTGCCTGCGAGGGGAGGAGGAGCTGGGCGGGGGTCGCGCCGGGCCACACGGAGGGGGTGCTTACTGGGCCCAGTGCGTGGCTGGGAACAGGCCGGACCCAGGGAGGGGGTGGGGCGGGGGGCAGGAACTGAGCAGCTGGCCTGGGCCCCCAGGAGCATCCTGCCTCCTTCCTGGGCCTCATCTGTACCAGGGGGCCCGGTGACGCCGCCCAGAGTCCGGGGCTGGGAGAAGAGTCCAGAGCTTTGAGAGTGAGCCTCTGAGCACCCCGTGCTCACCCGCAGGGCCCTGGGGCAGGGGCAGTGGCCGGGATGGTGGTGGGGCAGGGTCAGAGAGGGGGTGCCTGCAGATCGCAGGGGCCTCCTCTGCTTGTGGGGCCGTCTGTCTCCTGGGCTCAGGCCCCAGGGAGGCCAGCTGTGAGGCCTTGTCCCTCCTGGCCCCTGTCCCCCAGAGAAATGGGGGTGAAGTCACAGCAGCAGCCTCCGTGTGGCTCCCACTGGGCCTGAGGGTGGTGGCCTGGGGTACCTGGGGCCCTAGATGCACAGCAGGAGGTCTCTGCCCAGTGCCCACCGGCCTGCCCACCGGCCTGCCCCTGCCTCGTGCTCTCCTGAGGTCTGGGGCAGGAGGGCGGGCGCCTCTGTTGGCGCAGTTTGTGCATCGTGACCGAGTGTCACTGCCCCCCTGGTCCCGCCCCAGCGCCAGCTCCTGGCCGGCCTCCTGCTTTGCAGGCCACCCAGGGCGCATGCCACTCACATGGGTCCCTGGCCGTGTGGTCCCAGGGGGTCCTGCAGCCCGGGGTGGGGGAGCGTTTGTCTGGGGGTGGGGGGTGCCTGGAAGCCCCCAGGGTCTGGAGTCTGCTCCCAGCAAACAGGAAGCTCAAAGGGTGATCTCTCCCTCCTGACATTGTGTTTACCAAGGCAGGATCCAGACCCGTTTCCACACAGGAAACCTGGGAGGCTGGGAGGGGGCCGGGAAGGAATTCCCTGGGCTGGCCAAGAAGCCGGGCTTCCTGTGGGTCTGCAGAGGGTAGGCTGGGGGAGGGTCAGCCACGAGCTGAGAGAGGCCCCTCCCCGGGGCGGTGGAGGGAGGGGCCCAGGAGGCCTTGTGTCCCAGCCCACCTTGTGTTTTAGGACACTGAGGCCCAGGGACTATTAACGTTTCCCCATCAGATGGGGAAAGGGCCCAGGGGCATTGTGTCTCCCCATCCCCAGAATCCAGCACCCTGGCCCAGGGGCAGGTCAGGGACTTTGGGAGGTCTCAGGGGAGGGCCTTCCGGGTGAGGTGGGGCCCAGGGTGGGGCCTCCGCAGGGGCTGTACTTGGAGTCTCTGGGGGGCATCCCTCCAGGGCCACTGCGCTGCCTGAGGGCCACCCCCTCCACACTCCTCTCCACCCGGGGCGGCCAGGAGTGTGCGTGCTCAGTCCCTCAGACGTGTCTGACTCTTTGTGACCCCGTGGACCGCAGCCCGCTAGGCTCGCGGGATGCTCCAGGCAAGAAAGCTGGAGTGGGTTGCCATGGCCTCCTCCAGGGGATTGTCCTGACCCGGGGATTGAACACCTTCAGTGCTCTGCTCAGCCTTCCAAACAAAAAAGGGGGCCTGGTAGCCGGCCCTGGGCACCTCCCTGCCCCCACCTCTGTTCCACCAGAAACACTGCCGCAGAGGCAAGCGCAGAACTTTATTATGCACCAACCACACAGCTGCCCCCGACCTCAGCCTCCCACAGTCCTGTATTTGTTTCAGAATCATCTTTCAAAAACAAATATTTTCTTTGGTTTATAGCAAAGTTTGAAAGCCAGAGCAGAGACTTCCCATACACCTGACGCTTTTCCTCTCACACCCACATCTTACGCTAGATGCTTGGTTATAATCGCTACTGACTGGAGTCCATACTTGGTTCTGATTTCCCCTCGCGTCCTTTTTCTGGTCCAGGGTCCCGCCCAGGACACAGGGTGGAAGGACGAGTGCCTCCATAAGTTACTGTCCTGCACAAGCGGGCGGGCTCTTCTCCTCCGTTGGTTTACACCA